ATACTTAGAGGCACCTCCACTTGTCCAAATAACTCTTTTCGAATTGTCATTGTTCCTGGACATTCAAACATATGTTTGACATCCTCCTTTTCATTTTCGCATCTTCGGCAACGTGGATTGAGCTCTTCATTTACAAAGTTCTTATACCCTCTCAAGCTCCAATGATGGTCCGACCGCAGTCTTGCTAGCTCAACCTGGCCCCAGTGACATGTGATGTTTTGTTCCCGCTTACTGGAGTACCCAGAATGCACTTCTTTCGGGTGCTGGTATTTAGCTCTGCATGGTGGGTCTCTGATTTCCCTCTTGATCATTGGAAAGACTCCTCTGTGTGTTGTTGGTCGTCTGTCTCCTTCAATCTCTCTGGCTTCAATAGCAGCTTGGTCGGCTGCTTCATTTCCTTCGATTCCAACGTGGTTTGGAATCCACTGGATTTTTATTGTGGCTGTGGATTCACAGAACTTGCGGCGCAGATCATTTATGTCTGAGCTGTTGCCTAGCAGTCCCTTGCAGAGGGACTGACTGACAGTCAAGATCAGCACATTGGTTCTTCTGTGGCAGTTGTCAGCAATCCACTGTGCAGCAGACATCATTGCCTGGCATTCCTCGTCATAAGATGATTTAAGGAATGCACCTTTACTTTTAATGATTTTTGTTCGTGGTGGTTCATCATTCATTATCACCACTGCTGCTGCTCCACCTTCGCGGTATCCTGCGACATCCGATCCACTGGTGAAAATTGTCACATCGGCACCAACCTCTCTGATCACATCCTCTGCAGCTTCGCGTGCCTTAACAGATCATCACATTTGCTCTTCACTCCTCTCAGTTCTGTCCGGATTTCGATTTCGTCATGGGTTTCCCATGGACAAGCTCTCACCAGATTGATCGGCCATCGATTCTCTACTTCAGGGGGGAGGTGGTCTGCTAGATCGGTGCCCATCCGAAACCAACTTTTCCTGTTGTTTTTAGGCTTGATTGCTTGATCAAGGGCTTTCTTTCTTGGATGGTTGTCTGGCAATCTCTTAGCCATCTCTACAGACTTGAGGCATGTTCTTTTTGTATAGGTGGTGTAGTACACCAGTTCTGGTCTCATTGCGCAGCGCTTCTGTTGGTGTTGTTTTCAGCTGATCTGATACAAGGCGGGGGGCTTTGTTTTGTGTTCTCTCCAGGGCCTTTGCACTAGTCTCCCTCAGCCAAGGCTGCCACGCTGGGGCAGCATAATCCATCTTGCTTTTCACAAACATCTGATATACCTTCTTGAGCGACTCCTTACCCCAGCCCCATTTTGAGTTGCTGACAGTACCGATCCCCTTCATTTTTTAGGTTGCACTTTTGGACACTTCCTCAATGTGCTTGTTGAAGGTAAGCTGTCTATCCAGATAGACGCCCAGCAGGCATGGAGTGGGGTTGAATTGTATCTTTTTCCCTTCGATTTGAATTATTGGTTGCCACGTTGCCTCCTTCACCCATGTTGAGAAGAAAAAGATCATGATGATGATGATGATGATGATGATGATGATGATGATGATGTTATTATTAATCATAATACACGTAAATATATAACAAAACATCAACAACAACAACAGCAACAACAGCAAAAAAACAACAATAACAACTATACCAACTAAAACAACAACAACAACAACAACAACAACAACAACAACAACAACAACAACAGCAACAGCAACAGTAGCAGCAACAGCAACATCAGCAGCAACGGAGTTGATGACGATGATGATGATGACGACGATAATGATGATATTCTCTTTTTTATTCTACGCTGCATATGATGATGGTGAGGAAGAGGAGGAGGAAGAGGAGGAGGAGGAGGAGGAG